GCGGGGTCTTCGCGAACGTCCGACCGGTGTCGATTACCATGTCGTATTTGGCGCGCGGAAGCTCGTACGGTCGCGCCTGCTCCATGCGGGTCGAGATGAACGTCCAGTCACCACCAGCAGCGTACTGGCGCTCGATCGCCGTCCAATGACTCGCGATGCTCTTCGAGCTCGTCATCGGCACTCTACCAAGGATCTCTCCGAGGTCGCCTACCGCTGTGCGGAAGACGTCGAGAGTCCGGAGCACTTTGTGCGCCAAAGCACGATAATTCTCAACGTGACTGTTCCACGTTGAGAATTATCGTGCTCTGTCAGAGCGGCTCCTAGCCGTCGAGCAGGCGAATTCGTCACTTCGTGCGACGGCGGAGCGCTTTGCGCGGTTGAAAGTGGAAATCGTTGCACTCCGTGCTCAAACCCAATTGCTGCTTTGGTTTCTGGCTGGTCGAGCGCCTATGGGTGCTGCCCCGACGCCAAAGCTTTCGCGTTCACTTGCACCGGATCCCGGTACGGCTTAAGCAAGCCCACATAAAACACCGGGTGGATGCGTATCCTTCTTGGAAGGTTAAACGTATACGCAAGTCCCCGCTTTGCCACGACCTTAAAAGATTTGATAAATCGCGGACGCAGCTTCGTTCTAAAGACAGCAGAAACTGCATGTGTGGGAAGATATTTAGCATTCAATAAGACCAGATCTCCGACCTCATAGTTTTCAACATTTCTTCTGCTTCTTCCGTCTGCATGTTTTTTACATGTATTGGATTTCAGCCATCGCATCGCGAACATGTCGCGAGACACTCAGTCTGGTAGAAGGAAGTTATCGACTTCTTAACGCACGGTAACGGGGCTGAAATCAGCTAGCCGTTCGGCTCTACCTCTCCCACTAAGTCCTGAGTAATGGGATGGCGGCGTCAGTGGGTCGCGAGGATTAATAAGCTCGTTCACGTAGAACGGCGTATAGCCGGTAGATGAAATGCACTGCATTGGTTAGAGCAAACTTTTCGAGTGGCAACATAGCACTCCAGCGCTTCGGCGTCTCATCGCTGCGAAGAACGTCTTCAGCGACGCGATTCACGCGCTCAGTTTGACCATCGGTCTGCGGATGGTCCGTTGTCGACATATCTATCTTGGTGCCCAGCACCCTGAAGAATATAGACCAAAACTTCCCAGTTAGACGTGGGTCTCTATCGGAGATAATTGACCCCGAAAGTCCATGTTGTCGAAAGACACGATCGACAAGCAGTGTCGCTGTACCCACACCGTTGATAGTGTCCGACACTGCTGCAAGATGAGCCATCTTGTTCAAACGGCCCACAAAGACCACCACACCTGTGTTGCAGCCGAATCCTTTGGCAGGCCAAACACAAAGTTCATACTCATCGATAGCAAACACACGGAGTTATCGGCGAACTGGCCAGCGACGCCGCCGCATTCAGAGAGGGTTTCACCCTCTGACATGTCTTACACGTGCCAGATATGTGCACGTCCATTTGTACAGCTTAGATCACCAGTATTGTCCGAGTTTCCAATCTCCTTGCTTCCGAGAGCCTGAAGCAGTGCTACACACATATCATCACCCACGTATGCGGCGCTGATCAAATCCGTTACTGACGACGTCACCGTCGTGACATTAGCAAGCTCATAATCAGGTCTGCGTGACAACGCATCAGCCAAAGCATTCTGCATTCCTGGCTTATACTTTATTTCGAAGTTATATTCTGCGATGAAGGAGAGCCACCTGGCTATCCTATGCGAGATGTGAGGCGACTGTGTCGCAGTGCGTAATGACGCATGATCTGTGTAGATCACAAACGACTTGGAACCGAGCAGGTGCACCCTAAACTTGACAAATGCATACTTCATCGCAAGTAATTTCCTGTCGTGAACTGGGTAGTTTCTCTCTGCAGCCTTAAGCTAGCGAGATTCGAACGCGATCACCTGATCTCACCCCTCGGCGTCTGCTTGTAGCAGTGCACAGCCAATGGCAAATCCAGAAGCGTCACAGACAACACTAAGAAGACGATCGAGGTCAGGCAACGCCAGTATAGGTGCATGGAGGAGGCTGTCTTCGACCCTTTTAGAATCCGCCCGATGCTCTATGTTCCAACATCTATCCTGATCCCTTTGGCGGAGATTCGCCAATGGCCGTGCCATTTTCGCATGATTTGCGCCATATGTGTGCAAGTAGTTGGTGGGGCCAAGCCATTTGCGCAAGTCCTTTTTGTTCATTGGAACCGGCCAGTTTACAATGGCCTTGACCCTAGCGGGATCCGGTCGATGGCCACACTACTGATGAAGCACCCTAAAACGTAAATCATTTCCGCGCCGAAGATGCACTTACCGGCATTAGTATACAGCTTATTCGTGCGCATGCACTCGAGCACCGTTCTCAAATGGACGATGTGGCTTTCCACATCTGTCTTACCATTACCCGCTCGACTGTGGACGAAGGTGTCGTCGAAATGTGTCTGTGCATACGCCCAATGGGGCCTAAATAGTTGCGTCACAAGACGAATAAATGTTGCTGGTGCATGACAGCCCTTGGGGCATCACCAGCCACTTCCAGAGCATCCGCTCGAAGAACTCACCGGCGGAATATCACTCGCTCTCATGAGCAATTGGTATTAACCATAAACCAAGTTGAATGCGATGTACTGTGTACAGCCAACCATATTGTTCCGGAGCGCATCATTTCTAGAAATCGGCGTCTGTGCCGGAATGGTGGCCGCGTTTAGCTTATTGTAAGCGTGTACGATACGCCACGCGCCGTTCGGCTTCCGGACTCAAAACGTGGGTGTCGCATGGGGAATTTGCTCTCACGCTCCGTTCTTGACTCGTGCTTCGCACGGAAAAAGGTGTCAATGACGTCACACTGCTCTTTGGCAGGGGCCATTGGCATGTTACGCAGTATTTATTTCCCGGAACCAGGTCAATCTCATGACGCAAACCTCGGTTCGGAGGTTAGACCGACGACGGGTCTTTGGAGACGACTTCTTGGAATTTCTTTACCAAAAGGATAATACGGATTCGAGTGACAGGATCGAGGATCCCCTTTGTGCGTTCAGCACCCCTTAGTGTACTCCAGGACAGCTTCATCCAGAAGCGACAACGAGTCGATCTCCTCTTCCGATCGTATGATGACCATCTCGGCCAAACTGCCTGTCTTCAGAGCACCGTCAAACTCTTCGAAGGACATCTCTTCCAGCTCAAGAAGAGTATCCACCGCGGGAATAGCCTCGAAAGTGATGCCACCGTCTTCCTCTCCCGTCATACCGTTGACAATGGTATAAAGCTGTGCACTATCGTCCACGGTGGACACACCCTGGGTCAGGATCGATGCCCTGGGTCTTGCAAATATCATATAGCTCCACCGTCTCCTCCCTATGGAGCTCTTACGTCTCATCGAGACCCGTGGAAACACGCACTCAGCGTCGTCCAGTATCCTTACTCCCTGCTTTATCGGAGCCTTGATGTTATTAAGAACATCCGACGACGAGCTGCTATTTCGGGGGCCCGACTACTTAGACGCCTAACGATCGAGTAATCGCGTCCTTCGCTTCTGTAGCGGGATCCGCCGAGCGGAAGCCATATTCCACACGAGGGTCGAGGATCGACCACGGATGCGCGCGCATGGGAGCCGACCTGCGGGCAGCATTCAGCTGCTGCTTCTGTGCCTCGTCGAGGTAATTAGTAATGATACCACTTCCCACGGAAGTCGAGAGTTCCAGGAGCGAAAACGGTGCTCGCATGATTTGAACAGGGCTCATGTCGCGCCGCTGGGGCACTTCGCCCTCTTTTTCCTCCCATTCTGGGAATGGAGGCTTCCTCTAAATTCTCGACGGGGTGATCCATCGCCTGTGGCGGGCGCGGTGCGCTGTCTAAAGTTGCACCGCGTGTAGGAGACGAAGAAGGGCTCTTCCCGCGGGCGTTCTCGGAACCATCGAGGCTAGGTGTCTTCCGTGTCTTTGACTTAGGGCTCATTGAGTAGAGAATTTGTGGAAAAGGTCCTGGTGATGTTGTGGCGTCTTAGACACGCGAGCCTCGTTCAAGGCGACAGCTGATGTGACTGCACAATGGTGTGGCTACACTTGAAGAGAAAGTCAGTATGTGGCTGAACTGCCAGTAGTTATACATTTAATCAGGTTTTACTAAATAGGAGATCCTATACATTTAGATATAGACGGCTTTGCCGCAAATAAAAACCGAGAGATGAATAAGTTTACGCTTCAAAATTAGCTTGGATTAAGATTGTAATCACTCTTGGAGTAAGCGGATTGCAGTCCGCTACACTCGTACTGGCTCCAACTATAGAAGGAAGGTCGGTGACCTCAACCAATCTCCCTCTAAGCGAAAGAGCTACGGCAGCCCCGCTGCAAGACGAGTTCTCCTCGAGTCTGATACATTGTTTAAGAAGGATAGTTGTTTAGGCACAAATTTTGCCTTGAGTTATTCAGTGTTTGTTATGGGTCAGCGTTCGAAGACACCTACTAGCGCTCATTATTGCACTTATCGCATTTAATCGTTACGTAAGCGCCTTATAGCGAGCCAAAAGTATTTGTGTACAGTAATCATCATCAGCATGATCGAACGAGGCTCGTCTTCAGACGAACGGGCAATGGGTTATATTTATCTATCATGACCTACTATTTGATATCACAGCTTTTGTCATGGTTTATTCCAATAAATTATCTATATTGAAACGAAACTGGTGGTAGATTTTCGAAAGATAGATATCTGTATAGAAATTATGTAGATTTTTATTATTTAAAGCGTTTACTTGGCTCCAAAACGTTTCCATATAGAGAGTTTGTCATAAAAGGTTAATATGTGCTAATCAAGCTTACAAAAATGGATCGAGAGAACACACCACAGAAGCAGCGGCAAAAGGTAGGTGAGCTCAGCTGCTTACAGCACATTATATGTACCAATTAGATTTTTTACACAACTGTGCAGCGCAGTAGCAGTAATCGCCGCGTCAACACCGGCTTCACAGCTCATGATGCTCTATCTCGAGCCGGTACGAACTCAGCTTCGGGTCCCAATCGAGCGTTTCGGACCCGCAATCGCACGGCAGCTCCTACTGGCCCTGCAGCTGCTTCTGGACAACCAAGAACGCCCTCTATGTTACTTCGACCCAACTCAAATGGTGCTTCAGGGCTCACTGGGGTACTCTACGAACCAGATGCTTCTCGACGCAGCCGCAGCGTCGTAGATCGAGATATCCACTTGCAAACCAACACTCGATCGAACACTATAGACCGACACGGCTCGAAAGCAAGCTTAAATGGGATTACACGTCCATCAACTCCCTCCAGGATCGTTCCACCATATTCGATTGTGAAACTTATTACCCCTCAAATGCAATTTTCAACAGATTTATCGGTTAAGTTGGGAAATTGTTTGGAACTCGAGAATTTTAAAGTAATTGGAGTTTTCGGATTGGAAGGTGTCGGCAAATCCACCATCTTATCGCTGTTGTTGCCAGAAAAGATGAAAGAAATGAATTTGTTTCCCATTCGAAGTTTCGAGGCTGCGGTGATGGATCGACATGAGACGACAGGAGTGGATTTAGCCATATCAATGATAGGCGGAAAAGGCCACTCATTGATATTGCTAGATTCCCAACCATTGCTGAGCAGCTCAATGTTAGTAGATCTTTTGGAACGAAACGAATCTCAAAAGTTTGGTGCTCTCAATCCCGAACAACAGGTGGAGGTAGCATCATACCAACTCGCGGTGTTTTTGAGCGCAATTTGCCATTACGTGGTGTTTGTTCATGATGATTTGGCGTACCAAGTTTCGGCTCGTGACCTTTTACGGAACATCGAACGCAAGTTAATGCAATGCCGACTACCAAGTGTATCGGGCAACAATCACAGACATGCAGCACAGCTACTCTATATAGCCAATAACATGACAGAGTCCGACTTATTGTACCGCGAAAACGAGCTGTTTTCAGCTCACGAGCGTGCACTTGAGTCTGTGTGGTCCCATGCACTGGTCCGCGTGCCATATAAGCTGTCGACTTACAGTGATGTTGTCGATGACGATAAAAATGCCCTTCATGTGGCGTCTTTTGTATTTCCACACCAGACTAACGCTCGAGCAGCGTCAGCAGTGCTAACGACTGAACAGAAAACGAAAAATGATCACGAGACGACAAATTTGTCTTTCGACACGAATAAGTACTCGAACTTTGATGAAATTGCTGAAGACTTTCAACGTTTTGTTCTGGGTCTCCCGAGCTCTCCAGCATTTACGTCGCAATCAGCTATAAGTCCCGAGTCGAAGGCACAACCACGACACGCACTTTCTTTGCGTGAATGGCTTAGCAATGCTTCTCGAGTTTTCGAGGCTTTGCGCAAGGCAAGTTGCTTCACGGCTGAGTTCACCTCGTCGAGGGACTACATTTAAGACGGTATGGAAACTCTACGTTCGTTCAAGAAGTTTAGGGTAGCGGTGGCAAAGCACTTCCTCGGTCGCTTATATATTAAATTGCTATTACCGTACGAATATCTGAGAAGTGAACACCATCGGCTGTTAGTACAGAAATACGCCGCTTGAACTGATTGTGATTGTAACGATCGGTCTTTTTAATTGTGTCATCAATGCCGACTAAGGAAATAGACCTTTCAAGATATGGCTACAATCTGGGTACTTTTTGTCCTAGGCCTCACTTGTTCATGGACGCACGCCGTACCGCTGGTGGAAAATTGGTACCTCCCAACACGTTGCAATGATGGGTCTCAATCTAGTGTATGTCAAAACTATGAACGCTGTAAAGCGACTCACCGCTGTAATCGAGGAGACGAAGACTACGACGTTGAAGCTGCAACTCTTAAGAGTTACACAAGAGAATTTAAAGAAGGAGAGCGGGAGCCTATTGCACTTCTAAACGACTTTGAAGACTGGAAGTCAGGAACACATCACTGGAAATTTCAGCACCGAGGTAGCGTTACCAATGACAGCATCTTGGAGCCAGATACTTGGATCGGGTGGGACACATTCACTTTTCCTGTCATCGGATCGCTGGAACTCGCCTCGGGGGAGTTATTGTTCGACACGGATGAAGTGACTTTGCGTGGCGATATCCAGCTGGATGGCATTTTGACAACGACGCGACTTGGTGGAACTTCCGTCGCGGTGTTCAATTTCATTACTGTGTATATCGGAAACGGAGTCCGTGTCCGCTTTCAAGGGAATCGAGCAATTGCCATTTTGAGTCGAAGTAGCTTTATCGTGGATACTGAGTTGCGTTTGCGGCCAGGTACGCTCGGTGGCTTCCCTGGAGGTGGTCTTATCGGTGCGAGTAACAATCGAAATGGGCCAGGAAGCTCCAATGTTCGTGTATATGTAAAGACTCTCTCGACATGGGGCAAACACGTGGCCGAAGTGCAAGAGATTGAAACTTCTACAGCTAGCGGGCAACGTATTCAAGGATACTTTGTACTCCAGTACCCTAGTAATACGAGTCTTGGCCTGATGACGTCGTCGATATCGTATGCTGCAACGGCGCTAGACGTACGGCGTCGATTGGAAACTGCGTTCCCGGATATTGGAGAGATCAACGTTGAGCGCGACGATCAGCTTGAGCAAGTGCCTGAGATTGGTCGACTGTGGCGTGTGACCTTTTTGTCAGCAGTTGGGAATGTCCCTCAGCTTCAAGCTAAAAGTTTTCTTTCCGGATTAGAGACAAAAGTAATCACACGAACGATTGTAAACGGCAACGAACTCTCGGGATCGTTCCGCCTGACATTTCTAGACACTAGCACGCGCTCGCTGGCTCATGATGTATCACCTGCAAACCTTCGAAAGGCATTATTAGAAGACTTACCTGTGCTTATTGATGCCCGTGTCGCGCGGACAGACGCTAATGGCCAATGTCTACAAGGCTCAACATTTGCAGATCAAACCGCAAGCTCATCGATAATTGCGCTCGATTCAAATGTTGATGAAAGAGTGTATCGAGCGTCGGAATGGCAGGTACCGGAACAAGAACTTGCTGGAATTGCAGATAGTACGAAAACATCTCAAGTGGGACGCTGTCGTGCAGGTCGTGGTAGTGCCGGAGGTTTTGTTTGGAAACTGCAATTCTGGACACGAGAGGGAAATCTAGAAGCCACGTCGCCAAGCTCCAGCTCAATGTTAGATATTTTACCTCCCGCTGCTTTGACAGTGAATGCCTCAAATATTCAAGGCTTTCAAGCAACGGCTGAAGTTGTTGATTCTCAGTGCTTCTCACTCGCTTTCGGTGGGTCTGGGGCTTCATTTTCTCGCTCCGGCGGTGCTGGCTACACTCCGTTGTTTGGTCCGACGTATGCAGATGAATTAGTGACAGATCTGCTGGGTGGAAGCGGAGGGGCAGGAGGCGGACTGGAACCATTCGATGTGTTTCCTATCCTCGAGCCAACACAGGGTGGTGCTGGTGCCGGTGCCGTGATGATTTCGGCAGTAAATGATATTCTTTTTGGTTCTAATGCTCTCATTATCGCGAACGGAGGGAATGGTAGTGCAGGCTTTACACCAGGAGGTGGCGGTTCTGGTGGCTCAGTGTTGATAGTAAGTGGGGCCACGGTGTCGAATTACGGCGTACTAGAAGCCACGGGCGGTCACGGAGGACTTGGATTTAATATGGACGTCGGTGGGGGTGGAGGAGGCAGTGGGGGTCGAATTACCATCTATGCGCAGAGCTATTCATCGTGGGGAGCTGGAAGCCTACTTGTTAGTGGAGGTTTATCAATGGATCAAGGTAGAAATGGCAATGAAGGATCTGTGAACGTCAAAGTTCGCACCAATTTGACCATGCAAATAGATGGTACTATAGGAGCTGCTGGAACAGCCAAGTCTCTCCTGGTGCATGGCAGTGAAGGATATGCTAGTCAATCGTCATCTTTATCGTCACAAGAAAATCAATTTATTCAAAACGGACCCCGATATGTACTTGACGAAGCCAGTCAACCTACTCGTATCTCGTACTTTGTTCGAGTCGGTAATCTCAAACGTGGCGCACTCGACACTAACCGTGGGGCTATCTTTGTAATTCATGCAAGTGATGCGGCAGACAATGAAGCCATGATCTCCGTCGCACTGATCGATGGCAGCTTTGCGCACGAGGCAAACACGTTGGAATTGCCGCGGCAATTTTTTCAGGACAAACTACAAACTGAGCGTTGGTACAAACTAGACGTGACACTCGATTGGCAATCACACACGTACTCGATCCGGTTAAATGACGTTTTAAAGGTTAATACAGCTGCTTTCCAAGGCGAAAGCGTTGCGGCTTTAAGTCTTAATAACCTTCATGCCATGTCTACCTGGTGGGACGAAATCTACGTTGGAGTTGACTACTTGCTAGGGTTCACATGTCCCTGGGTCCAACAAATTACGGATGAGACTAATGATGGAACGAACGAGGGGGCACTTCTTACGAAGAAGCGTTCTTGGCGTAAGTTATGGGCTGAGAGTATCCAGAAGCCATTTGCTACATCATACCATCCCATGGTTCGTCATGAAAGTCATTTGTCAAGACAAGAAGTGTACAATCACGATAATGGTGGACTTGCTCCATTTGATGGCGTGCCACATCGAGCTTTTTTTAATGACGTTCAAGAGCAGGAGAGTGAGAATCCAGATCAAGGTAGCTACGAGGAGCAACAAGCTAAGATCGTAGCGGGGAGCGATGAAGAGGAAGTGATATCATATGCTGAAATGCTGACCATCGAAAATCTTCCACTTGATCGAACTATCGTGGAGCCACTGGAAACTAGTTTCGAGTGGGAGGGGAGTGTGGGTGCAACAAGTGCTGACGACGTGGCTTTTGAACCTGATGTCTCAATCTCTCCAAGTGTGTATTGGTATTCAGAGGTCTTGAATATGAGCACTGGTCGTGGAGCCATTGGTGCTTGTTCAAGTATTGACTACAATGAATGGCGGAATGAAGGTCTTATGCTTCATTTTGATAATCTAACGGACCCTATCGGAAACCATCTCAAAGAGGGTGGTGGCCTACTTGGTGATCGTCCCAAGGTTATTTTTAATCGCCTTACCAAGCAATTTGTAATGTGGATGCACGTTGATAATGCTTCAGTTTCTAGAGTAAATACTATGGGTCTTGCAGGGATTGCAAGTAGTGAATATCCCAATGGTCCCTTTTCGTTCCACCATAGTCAATACCCAGATGCAGCACCGTTGGAAGCACCAGGAGGAATGAGTATCAACGAAACCTATGACCAGACGCTCGCTACTATCTCGACAGCCAACACACAAGATGCAGTATACCTCATCCGAACCTACTACAAAACGGTCGAGTACTGGTTACCTCGTCCTGTGATGGACCCACTCTGGCAAAGTGTGCAAAAGCCAAGCGAGACAAAGCCTGGAGAAACAGTGACTGACTTTGGGATTAATTACCATAGAGCGTTCTACCACACGGGTTACGACGATCCAACAGATATTTATTTGCAGCGGTGGAGAATGGAAGACATACCGTGGCAAGTTATTTGCTGCTCTCCCACAAATACTAGTGATTGCATCTCTGTCACGGATGTACCACAACGACCGGAAGATATTTGTCCGAATGGTATGAAGAAGAAGACCATTGTAGGTCAAGCGCAGACCCAATCTCGCAATGCGACAACACCCGCTCTAGTGACGTCGCGTTATAAGGATCCAAATGATGGTGACAACAACGCGATCGCCTCAACATCTGTACTCTCTTCTACGTCTTGGGGATTACCAGTGCAAAGCACGATACCATGGCGAGACAATTACTTTGATGCTCTCAGCACGAACATCACACTATTCATTTTCAGTCGATTTGCCGCACGCCATGTTAGTAAGAGCAATCAAACGATCGATTACACAATTTCTAGAGAAGAAAACGTGTCACAAAACATTATTTTAGTAAATGACTCGGAGGTTTTGGATGAATTATTGGGTTCATTGGGTGTTCCAATAAGTTTGGATTTCAAAAGCAAGTATTCTTCCTTTGACCTTGCCGAGATTGACCGAAATAGTGATGGGAAGATCACATCTTATGAAATAGCACAGCTGGAGGAGCAAAGAGCGCTCAACAAGCTCACAGCTGATCTGGTCAATGCGCTACTTGCGGACTTTAACATCATGAAATGGAGACAAGTGGAAATTCTGGATGCAAACAATGACAAGGTGATCATGTTTCAGGAGTTTGAAAATTGGCTGGGAGCTGATCCAAATTTACTCTTTGACCGCTTTGATTCTGACAAAAATGGCTATCTGGATGAAGCTGAACTGGCACAATTGCTCGTGTATCGTCAAATACCAAGGTTAGATACCATCATCTTCTTGCTCGATCCTTCGTTCGACGGTCGCGTATACTACGAACGATTTCGGTCGCTCCTTGTTGAAGTTCCTGACTACATGTTCAAGGTGTATGACTTAGATAATTCTAATACGCTCTCTCAAACTGAGATCAGTCTTATCGTTCACGATCTTGGTCCAGATCTGGCGATTCCAGAAGTGTTTGAAATTCTTAAAAACATCACTTCAAATGCCATTTCGAAGACTGACTACGCCACTTGGCTCAGTGCCGCGACTAGTCTCGTTGGTGATATTCGCAACAAGCTGAAAGTGGACAACGCTATTCATGCCACTGGTCCCGACCGCCTGGTGGGACCACTGCACGTCGTAGAGCGACGACGAGCCAAGTATGTAGCCATCAGTGCGCTCACTGAAGATTATCTTCACACTCGGGGTCTTTTGCGTGAGGTCGAAGGCGATTTTGAAGGACGAGAGGCACTCATTAACTTTTTTGCCTTTAGTGAAGGTCTTTTTGGTCTCACTGATGCTTCGGATGGAGCTGTTGCCGGTGACGAGATCAGACCGTTTCGTGAATTTCTGTCACCGGCAATGGTGCACGATCGACCTTCATACTGGAATGGTCGACACTGGGAAGATTTTCAATCAGCTCCTCCGTTATTCACGTATGGCTCGCAGTGCTTCCATGTCGCTGGCCTGAATGGAAATATAGCAGACGAGGACATCAGTGGCTGCTTACCGTGCCGCACGACGTCGCCATACGCTTCAGATGTAGTCGATCAATACCAAACATTTAATGGAAGTACTGCGCATTGTCAGCCACAGGAAGAGCTAGACGCTTATATGACAGAAATTGGCCAAATAGTGGCCACCCAGCTTCAGTATCAGCAGTAAGCTCAATTTGGACCACAGGGACTATAGATGTCGTCATGCTACATTCATCTTTTACTTCATGTGAAATGTATTTAATTGTGGACGGCAACGTAGTTGACAAGCTTGGGATTCACTGCGCGTAACACTGCACAGTTGAAAATTTCGTCCATCTTAAGTCGGACGATTTCCTTGGAAGATTTGTAAGACCGCTAAATAATACTGTTCTTGTTGATAGCACTGAGAGGTGCGGACTGGTGAATTTGCTGACGTTGTGACGCATGTCGATGATAACAAAACATTAGAGGTAACAGCTTTTCGACAAAATGTTATATTGTGGCTGCCCAATACTTAGATGATGACGTGGGCATACACTGCTGAGAAGATCTTCAGTGCTAGAGAATTCCGTGAACTGTTTTACTTCTCATATGCCCGTAAATTTGGCCATGTAATGTCTTAAAAATTAATTTAAGCGACTAAGGCGATGATACTTATATTCATCCTCTGTTTTTGGAAAGGGATGGTGCATACTAAAGATTGATAAGCTTCGTTGCTCCACTTGCCGCCTTTTTTCTCCAGAAAGTTTATAGTGCAACTTGTTACGATATGTCAGAAATCAATGACACAAGGGGTAAAGTAAGCACATTAGGTAACCAGTAGCCAAAATAATTAATAAGTTTGCACAATTCGCTTTTGACGTTGGCCGTTTTTCGGACACAAAGTCAGCACCGAGCGGAGATTTGCATTCTATTGGATGGTTCAATGCGTCGCCAGATACTGTTATTCATACAAACTCGCCAAGGTTTTATTCCCGCGCCTATCAATTGCCTTACGTCACTCTGCATTCCGCACTCCTAGCAGCAAGCAGTGGCCAGTCTGCAGCTTCGAACGCTTGGCGTCGACGCATTATCCATGAGTGACTCAGATAGTAATGTACGTCATGTTGTTCTCTGTCAGTTCATACCTCACTATATTTGTAATAATTTTCCTAAACCATAACTCACTAAGACTTGTATCATTTTTTTATGATGTGCCTTTGTTTAGATCATGGCAGTGGCGCCCACTAACATCAAGACGAAACTCGCAGCACCTCGTAAGAAAAAAACTACTGGAGCATTGAGTAAAGCCACGACTGGCGCTAAGAAGACGCAGATCAAGAAGGCAAAGGCACCTGCCAAGAAGAAGAAAAAGACTAGCGATGATTCGGACAGCGAAGCCTCGGATGATGCGAGCCCTGCTTATGATGTAAACGACAGCGGCGATGAATTAGTACCGGCCACCAGTGCAGACGATGATGGCACGCCTAAGCAGAGCATTGAGCAGATTTACCAGAAGAAGACACAGCTGGAGCACATTCTACTGCGTCCTGATACCTACGTGGGCTCAATTGAGCATGTGGAGCAGAATATGTGGGTATTTGACGAGACAAATAAGCGAATGGCAATGAAAAAAATCAGCTTTGTCCCTGGTTTATATAAAATCTTTGATGAAATTATCGTCAACGCGTGCGACAACAGGCAGCGCGACAAGTCCATGAACATTTTGAAGGTCACGATTGATGTGGAGAACAACGAGATTTCCGTCTGGAACAATGGCAAGGGTATACCGATTGTACTTCACAAAGAGCACAAGGTTTATGTGCCTGAGTTGATCTTCGGCCACTTGCTCACGGGCAGCAACTTCGACGACAAAAAGAAGAAGACCACAGGTGGACGCAATGGATACGGAGCCAAACTTGCTAATATTTTCTCTAACGAGTTTGTGGTTGAAACGGCCGATTCTAGTACGAAACAACGATACAAACAAGTTTTTGAAAAGAATATGAGCAAGAAAAATCCGCCGTCCATTACCAAATGGGCGCAGAAAGATTTTACATGTATCTCGTTCAAGCCTGATCTGGAACGGTTTAAGCTTACCTTTCTTAATGACGACATCGTCTCACTGTTCAAGAAACGTGTGTATGATGTCGCAGGCGTCTCAGGTAAAGGACTTAATGTTTATCTCAACGGAGATAAGATTTCTATCAAGTCGTTCCCGCAATACGTTGCTTTGTACCCTGGGCCTCGTGGATTTGAAGCAGAGACAAAGGGTGATGAGGACTCGCATTCAGAAGAAAATAGAGACGACGACGATTATAGTGAGGAGAAGCCGAAAAAGGCCAAGACTAAGCCTTCAAACGTTACGAAGAACGGCGTGATTTTCGAGAAACCGGATGAGCGCTGGCAGGTAGGTGTCGGAATGAGTGAAGATGGGTTCCAGCAAGTAAGTTTTGTCAACGGTATTTGTACAACAAAAGGGGGTCAGCACGTTTCGTATATTGTGGAACAAATCACGACAAAACTCGTCAATGTGCTTAAGAAAAAAAATAAGGGTGAGGCTGTTAAGCCAAACTACATCAAGAATCATATGTCTGTTTTCGTGAGCGCGCTGATCGATAACCCCGCCTTCGACTCTCAGGTTCGTTAAGCTTTGTATCATGCCATAAAGCAATCAAACAACAATTGCTGATTTTCAAATTCTACAGACTAAAGAAACACTGACAACAAGAGCTAATAGCTTTGGCTCAACGTTTAATTTGAGCGATAAGTTTTTGAAGCAACTTGAGAAAAGTGGTCTCGTAGAGAAAATTCTCTCATTTGCTGCATTTAAGCAAACTGCAGAGCTGCGGCGCAAAGGTGGTGGTAGTGGCAAGCGGTCTCGCCTCACTGGCATTCCTAAGTTAGATGATGCCAATCACGCTGGTACGGCAAAAAGTAAGGATTGCACGCTGATCATTACAGAAGGAGATTCGGCTAAAACAGTGGCTGTGGGTGGTCTCGCTGTCGTTGGACGAGACTATTATGGAGTCTTTCCATTACGTGGAAAAATGCTAAACGTTCGTGAAGCTAGCCACTCGCAGATTTTAAAGAACGAGGAAATTCAAAATGTGGTCAAGATTCTTGGTCTCAAGTATGGTCAGACGTACGAGTCTACAAAGGGCTTGCGCTATGGCCATTTAATGATTATGACAGATCAGGACCACGATGGAAGTCATATTAAGGGTCTTGTGATCAATCTTATTCACCATTTCTGGCCCTCGCTTTTGCATGTGGATGGCTTTTTGCAGGAATTTATTACTCCGATTGTCAAGTGCACCAAGGGCCGAATGAAGGAGGTGTTTTATACGATGCCCGAGTACGATGCTTGGCGTGAAAGAACTAATCAGGGTCGTGGCTGGATGATCAAGTACTATAAGGGTCTCGGTACGAGTACAGCCGCTGAGACCAAGGAATATTTCTCAGATTTGCCGACGCACCAGATTGGATTTACGTACGACGGAGATGGAGATGCGGATGTAATTGACATGGCATTCTCAAAGAAGCGTGTTGAAGACCGTAAGGACTGGCTTCGAGGATACGAGCCTGGTACCCACGTGGATTACGATGTTGACGAAATGGGCTACACTGAGTGCGTTTTCAGCGCTGGCATAGCTCTTATTATTTATCAATCTAATGATGTCCTTGTTGAATCTTACCAGATTTGTTAACAAGGAGCTTATTCTTTTTTCCATGGCCGATAATATTCGCTCAATTCCTAGTGTCATGGATGGATTTAAGCCATCTCAGCGGAAGGTGCTTTTCAGCTGCTTTAAACGTAACCTACGGGTAAGCCACTCTAAGCAGCTAGTAGAACATGATATCACAATCTAATATTCTTTTTGTGAACATAAGTCGGAGCTTAAAGTGGCGCAATTGGCGGGTTATGTGTCTGAACACTCCGCGTACCATCACGGTGAACAGAGTTTGCAAGGCTGTATCGTAAATATGGCACAAGACTTTGTTGGTAGCAATAATATTCATCTGTTGTCCCCTATCGGTCAATTTGGTACACGTCTGATGGGCGGTAAGGACGCGGCCAGCGCTCGTTACATCTTTACTAACTTGGAGCAGCTGACACGCGTAATTTACGACACCTCGGACAACGATTGTCTAAAATATTTGGTTGAGGATGGTCAATCAATCGAGCCCGAATGGTACATTCCTATAATTCCTATGGTGCTTGTTAATGGTAGTGACGGGATCGGAACGGGTTGGTCCACCTCCGTACCCAACTACAATCCTCTCGATCTCATCAAGGGCCTACGTCAATTGATCAATGGAGAGGAAATGATGCCGCTTACTCCTTGGTATCGTGGATTTACAGGTCACATCGTTGAGAAGACGAACTCACGCGGATCGGATAGCAGCAATTACATTGTTCAGGGTATTTACGAAGTTATAGACGAGAGCACGCTCGTAATATCCGAGCTTCCTGTAAAAACTTGGACTCAAACTTACAAGCAATTCTTGGAGGGGCTTCTCGAAGCTAATACTATCAAAGATTTTAAAGAAAATCATACAGACGTTAAGGTGCTGTTCACGATTACTATGGAGCCTAAGGCACTAAGTGACATTATGAAGGCCCCGGGCGGGATCGTGAAAAAGTTTAAGCTAGAATCTTCTCTGTCGACATCAAACATGCATCTCTTTGATCCGTCCGGACATATCAAGAAATATGAGAACCCAAAAGAAATAATGCAAGAGTTCTACACTATTCGTTTGGAGTACTATCAACACCGGAAGACGGCTATGCTTCAAAAGCTGCAGGATCAAATCAAGCTTCTTTCTAACAAGGCCCGTTTCGTTCTTTCTGTTGTAGAAGGCAGCCTTATTGTGAACAACCGCAAGAAAAAGGATCTGCTGGAAGAGCTTATTGCTGAAGGCTACGACCAAATAGCGCCCAAATTGAAGAAGAAGACTGACAGTGAGGAGTCGAACGAATCGGAAGACGAAGAAAGTAATATGACAGATGCTAGCAAAGGCTACGACTATTTGCTTTCCATGCGGATCTGGAGCTTGACAAAAGAACGTGTCGACAGTCTGCGTGCAGAGCTTGAGGACCGTAAAGATGAGTACACTGTTTTGGAAGGAAGAACAGTGCAAGATTTGTGGCTCACCGACTTGGAAGCTCTTGAAAAGATGATTGTTGATACCGAAGCAGAGCGAGAGAGAACTTTGTCCCACACTCCGAAAAAAAGGGCCGGTAAGGGCAAAAAGCCTGCTGCGAAGAAAAGAATGCGAAAGAATACTACTGGTGGAGACGACGATGACAATGATTATGACTTCGAAGTCGTGAGCTCACAGGCATCACGCAAAAAACCAAGAAATTTAGCTCAAAAGTCCTTGAAGAAGGAACCGTCTACGCGCAAGTCAACCAGCACAAAGGGGACTAGCACCAAATCAGGCCCCATCACGTCGTTTTTTAAGCCCAATAAGCCATCAGTTCGAGAAGACAGCGAAACAATTGTTGAAGAGCTTTCGTTGGCAGAACGACTTGCTCGAAGAATTAAAGTTTCTTCACAAAACGTGTCGGCTGCCTCAACTTCGAATGTCGTACGTAAATCAAAACCCGCCGTGACATTAGATTTGGCAAGCTCGTATGACGAAAATACTAACGTCAAGGACGACGAGGACGTTGAGGATGATATTTTTGCCATAGAGTCAATCGATGCCTCCAAAAAGTTAAAATCAGCGAAGTCGAAGGTTGCTGCTCAGAAGACAGCTCCGAAAAAGCCAGCGGCACCTAGAAAATCCAAAAAAGCTATCCCTGCAAAAAAATCTATACAAAAGTCGTCATTAGAAAATGAGAGTGAAAACAGCATGGACGAGATCAGTGGCGATGATGCTGATCCTTCTCCGGTCGCCCCTCGTCCAAAGCGTGAATTGCGGAAACAAAAGCGCATCGTCTACGACGAGATCTCAAGTGACGAGGATAAGGATGATAATAAGGAGGAAGAAAGTTTCGCTTTAGAGGATGACGCTGACGACAGTGATTTTGAGTGATTTGTAAGTGGTGGTATTTAGGGATGCCGCAATATCCATTGCTTCAATATACTTTTTGTTTTCTAAGGGTTCACTATGCCATGCTATGCCCCCAGCAAACTTGCAAACCTAGGACTCGTCGTACTCAATTTTGAATTGAAAAACGCTTTGATCGATGATGCATTGCGTTATTATGGTAATTTCTTTCGCAGTGAGCGAAATCTGAGAGTTTGTGCTTCTCAATTTTTTTGATGTCATCCGCTTAAACAAGACTCAGTGTGAGGTAAAAGGGTGCGAATACATGGATGTGGTTTGGGACAATGTAAATAGATGATTTGTGGAGTTTGTGCACCCAGCTAACCGAGCTGTTTATTACACTACCAGTTGCCATTCACATGTTTCACCGCTCATCCCTTTGTCAGAAGAGATGAGCGGTGAACTATGTATGCTGCAAAGTTTCGTTGAAGAGCGAAGGTGCTTTACAATATTTCCTGCGGGCAAGCTTTTTGAAGCATCTAATCGTACTGCGCACCCGCTTTGAAGCGATATCAAAATCTACATGCGGTCTACATGCAGAGATAAATTAGATTTTTTTTTGTGGCGAATATGTCGGGGAACACTTTTATTCTATCACGATAACAGATAAACACTGGGGAAACAAAAGCATCGATTCGGTTACAATTGTGAGAAAAGTGTCAGCAACAAGTTGTGGTCGAGCTCTCGCATTAATGCTGCTGGACATGCGTGCAGGAGGGTTGGCCCTCAGAAAACGTTTACTTTAGCGGATGATACAGTGATGTAGCTTTCCGGACGACCTCCATTGCATTGTCAACCGTCAAAGAGTATAGTGGTCTCGATACGGCTATGCGTGGGCATTTGCGCGGCCAGCTATCTATTGTGCCTACAACAACTTTATCCACTTCTTGTTGTGTTCACACCGGCAAATCCGCTTGTAAATATTCGTGATAATACAATCTAAATGGCGTTATTGGCAAATGCGTAGAAGACACATTTTTGTGTTAGTACATTAATTAAGTCGTTCATGTCTTCGCCTGGATCTCGTGGTGGCTGTAACGATGTAACATCCCTGCCGCCATGAAATCGCGACGTGGTAACCCGTGCAGCGGGGCTGCCGTTGCTTAACGCTTGAGGAAGCGTAATTTAGGTCACCGACCTTTCGTTCTATACTTGGAACAAGTATGAGATAGCAGATCGCAATCCGCTTACTCCAAGAGTAATTATTGCCTTACCCAAGGCTAATTACTCTTCCGTTTGAAACTCAGAACTGATTTTTATTTATCTTTTTTATCCTAATTTCAAAAGTTTAGATTTTCCTTACTATACTAAATATAAATAGTAAAATCTGAATACATGCATAACTACTGGCTACCTAGCCACATACCGTATTCTTGTTTGGGTGCAGTCACATCATGCACATCTCGTGTGACGCACACCCTTGTCACCAGGGTACGTGTATACCCGTTACATCCTCCCAAGATAAGATTGAGAACATTTACAGCTCCAATCGATTATTGCCTCAACGAGGCTCGCTTTCCGCTAGACACTGCAACTGAATTCATTGGTATTGAACGACTTCCTTGCTCAATGAGTCCTGTGTCCACGACACGAAAGTCACCAAGTCTCGCTGGTTCTGAG